ATTTGCTTAATTTTTATGTAAAATGAAGCGTTTTTGAGATAATCGCTTATCTCACGTGAAATGGACCACCTGTATAGTACAACATATTGCTCTATCGCTTTTAGATTTTGAGTAGACACAAATTTTCACTTTATGCTTAAAAAATAGCGACACCAATACCTAAACGTGTTATGGACTCTTGTGCACAATATATTTCTGCATCGATTCTAATTTTAAAGTAGTGAGATTTGTTTTTAAAACAAAATGGTAAGAATTGCTCTTTTCCCGGCGCATCCACCATTTTCTCGTTTCCGTTTAAACTCAATATGAAATAAATGAGTTTGAGCCGTTCTATTTTTTCTAGTAGCAAATAAAGATAGAGTTTTATAGAGAACATACGGACCGGAAGTATCTCCAATTTGTATCTCGGCGCGCATCGTGCGATTTAGGTTTAGAGAGAACGATTCGGCGGATCCAATCCAATCAATCGAAATGAAAATATTCGCAATCCGCGTGGGTGTGTGTGGTCTGGCCGATCTTGAATTACGACGATAGCGCCGCCCTCATAATTCACGCGGGACGAGGGAGTCAGTGGAAAGACGAACTATCGCCCCCGACTAGAATTTCAATTTTCGAGCTCCGATTCACGGCTCATAACTTTTTGCGCTCGCAGGTACCGAGGGGCCCCTCTTCGTTCAACAAAGTTACTACCCTTAGATTCTGTGTTCGAAAACTATAGAGTTTTGTGCCCGGGACTCGTGGCGGCCCGTTCTGTTCGATTTACGATCGGCCCCCCTTCTTGTAAAAGTTCTGGAGCCGCTCACTCGAGTGGATTTTAAGGGAACATAATCTTAGCTTAATTGAAGTGACTGCTTTATGTCGCCATTTACTACTCCACCGTGTCGGTTTTCGTTTTCTTTTACTCTTCTACTACTATATACTTTCCCAAACTCGGCCGGCTGCTCTCTTTCACTGTTATACGACCGACGTCTTCTCCCCTTTTCTTTATGCCCTTAAGGAAGAATTTTTACGGGTATTAATTTATTTCTTTTTACTTTTTATCTTTTTCTTTAACGGTAAAGTCACGTATAATAAAAATGCAAAACTTTCACTTTTTTAAGTAGTTCACATCAAGGGCATCAACATAATTTAAAATTTAAATCAAATTCAAACATTCGGATTTCGCCGCAAGTCTTTCAAGTCGGTTAATCCCGAATGATTCTAGTTCTACGTCTTGTGTTAATTCTAGTGATAATTCTAGTGTAAAACTAGAACTAACACTAGACCTAGAACTAGAAACATTCGGATTTAGCCACAAGTCTTTCAAGACGGCTAAACCCGAATGATTGTAGTTCTAGGTCTTGTGTTAATTCTAGTGATAATTCTAGTGTAAAACTAGAATTAACACTAGACCTAGAACTAGAAACGTTCGAATTTAGCCGCAAGTCTTTCAAGACGGCTAAACCCGAATGATTCTAGTTGCAGGTCTTGTGTTAATTCTAGTGATAATTCTAGTGTAAAACTAGAACTAACACTAGACCTAGAACTAGAAACATTCGGATTTAGCCGCAAGTCTTTCAAGACGGCTAAACCCGAATGATTCTAGTTGTAGGTCTTGTGTTAGTTCTAGTGATAATTCTAGTGTAAAACTAGAACTAACACTAGACCTAGAACTAGAAACATTCGGATTTAGCCGCAAGTCTTTCAAGACGGCTAAACCCGAATGATTCTAGTTGTAGGTCTTGTGTTAATTCTAGTGATAATTCTAGTGTAAAACTAGAACTAACACTAGACCTAGAACAAGAAACATTCGGATTTAGCCGCAAGTCTTTCAAGACGACTAAATCCGAATGATTCTAGTTCTAGGTCTTGTGTTAGTTCTAGTGATAATTCTAGTGTAAAACTAGAACTAACATTAGACCTAGAACTAGAAACATTCGGATTTAGCCACAAGTCTTTCAAGACGGCTAAACCCGAATGATTGTAGTTCTAGGTCTTGTGTTAGTTCTAGTGATAATTCTAGTGTAAAACTAGAACTAACACTAGACCTAGAACTAGAAACATTCGGATTTAGCCACAAGTCTTTCAAGACGGTTAAACCCAAATGATTCTAGTTCTAGGTCTTGTGTTAGTTCTAGTGATAATTCTAGTGTAAAACTAGAACTAACACTAGGTCTAGAACTAGAAACATTCGGATTTAGCCGCAAGTCTCTCAATTCGGCTAAACCCGAATGATTCTAGTTCTAGGTCTTGTGTTAGTTCTAGTGATAGTGCTAATGTAAAACTAAAGCTAACACTAGTCCGACAGCTAGAAACATTCGGATTTAGTCGCAAGTCTTTCAAGACGGCTAAACCCAAATGATTCTAGTTGTAGGTCAGTAGTATATTAATGCCGGTTCTGGACCAGGATTAAGGATTTGTAACTAGATTTAGGTTGGTATTGGAAAAGTTACTAGATCTGGTGACTTTTAGTATATTGATGCCAAGGTTTATATATAAGAGGTTGTCTAGGTTCGTACGCAATNAGGTCTTGTGTTAGTTCTAGTGATAATTCTAGTGTAAAACTAGAACTAACACTAGACCTAGAACTAGAAACATTCGGTTTTTGCCGCAAGTCTTTCAAGACGGTTAAACCCGAATGATTCTAGTTCTAGGTCTTGTGTTAGTTCTAGTGATAGTTCTAGTGTAAAACTAGAACTAATTTTAGACCTAGAACTAGAAACATTCGGATTTAGCCGCACGTATTTCAAGACGGCTAAACCCAAATGATTCTAGTTTTGGGCTTGTGTTAGTTCTAGTGATAGTGCTAGTGTAAAACTAGAGCTAACACTAGACCGAAAGCTAGAAACATTCGGATTTAGCCACAAGTCTTTCAAGACGGCTAAACCCGAATGATTGTAGTTCTAGGTCTTGTGTTAGTTCTAGTGATAATTCTAATGTAAAACTAAAGCTAACACTAGTCCGACAGCTAGAAACATTCGGATTTAGTCGCAAGTCTTTCAAGACGGCTAAACCCAAATGATTCTAGTTGTAGGTCAGTAGTATATTAATGCCGGTTCTGGACCAGGATTAAGGATTTGTAACTAGATTTAGGTTGGTATTGGAAAAGTTACTAGATCTGGTGACTTTTAGTATATTAATGCCGGTTCTAGACCGGAAGTGAATCCTGATGCTCCTGCGCATGGTGCAGCTTAAAGCACCACCTAGTGGTTGGTGCCGGCGGTCACCGAGAGTGGTATCACCTAGCGGGGTACGGACAGTTGGGTGGGGGGGTGTTACCTGATGAGCCCATCAGACACCCATCAGGCACCATCTATCGCTCATCAGGCAAATTTATCTGGTGACTTTTTTTACTGTGCAACCTAGTGCTTGGTAACCCAAGAGGTTTCTGTACCTGGCGGCGGTCACCGAAAGTGGCGCCATATTTAGTAACTTTTCCAATACCAACCTAAATCTAGTTACAAATCCTTAATCCTGGTCGAGAACCGGCATTAATATACTACTTAGGTCTTGTGTTAAATTCTTATGTACTACCTNACAGTAGTATATTAATGCCGGTTCTGGACCAGGATTAAGGATTTGTAACTAGATTTAGGTTGGTATTGGAAAAGTTACTAGATCTGGTGACTTTTAGTATATTGATGCCAAGGTTTATATATAAGAGGTTGTCTAGGTTCGTACGCAATCATACTGCGTATTACGTCACATGTGGAAAATAATACCGCCAAGCAATTCAACTTAAACAAAGGCATGGAGCACCACATGGCCATGAGGTTGCGTGCGCAATCCGTGATCGCTTACGTCACGAAACACTCCTGCTCTTGCCCCTCGCCCACAAACTAAAATCAAAGTATTGCAGCATAGGAACTTAGACAACCCTTAATATATAAACCTTGTATTAATGCCGGTTCTAGACCGGAAGTGAATCCTGATGCTCCTGCGCATGGTGCAGCTTAAAGCACCACCTAGCGGTTGGTGCCGGCGGTCATCGAGAGTGGTATTACCTAGCGGGGTACAGACAGTTGGGTGGGGGGGTGTTACCTGATGAGCGACACCCATCAGGCACCATCTATCGCTCATCAGGCAAATTTATCTGGTGACTTTTTCTACTGTGCGTTTCTGTACCTGGCGGCGGTCACCGAAAGTGGCGCCATATTTAGTAACTTTTCCAATACCAACCTAAATCTAGTTACAAATCCTTAATCCTGGTCGAGAACCGGCATTAATATACTACTTAGGTCTTGTGTTAAATTCTTATGTACTACCTACCACTGTCACTAAAACTAACATTAGTCCTAAATTTAGAAACATTCAAACATGTTGCGTTTTATGTGGGACAAAGTAAGTAGGTACTTTTAAATGTTGATTGACATTGAAAGAAAGTAAATTAATAAAGAGAATTTCGATTTAAAAAAACCGTACAAACAGATAAAACGCAGCCGGCATTCATTAGTTAAATTGGCAAATTGATTAAATTGCCGGTGTTTGCGGAACGGCTGAAGTACGTCGCGACGTCGTCGGCGTCGAAATCTAATTTCTGACGCCGCCGGTGGAGTTCGCTAATACGTGAGGGGCTCGTTAGAGAAGAGCCTCGGGTTTCTACTTGCCCTGGGGGATAGCGCGGACAATCGGTTTTCCCCGTCTTCTTCTCCTAGTTATTGCGTTTTCATAACGAATCGAATACAGCAAAGCGAACCAAACTCGTTCTTCTTCATCTTCCGGCCGCCCTTCGATGCAATGAATAATTTATTGCCTGCTGGCATGAATTTTTCGAAGCTGTAGCTGCTTGCATAAAACATCTTTTTGAATAGATTTCGTTTCTTATTGAATATATTTTTTACGAGATATTAATTAAAAAGAATTCTACCAAAGACCTCGATCGGTGAAAGCTTATTCCCTCAAGCAATCAATAAAACCGCATTCCACACGCATTTACTAAAACAACTTTCGTTATCTTATCAACGAAAAACGTTTTAGCCATCATCAACGTTAAACACTTTACGAGATCATTAGATAACGTTAAAAATTGGTATATAAACCCAAAAAAAGATGTGTAAACCATCAAACTCATTTAGTTCTTCGCAACGTTTAGAACCACCAAAATGAACACCTTCATCATTGTGAGTATAAATTATAACTAAATTAAAAAATTATTTCAAAAATGTATTTGTTTAGATCTCCTCTTTGGTAATAACATTATCTTCAGCATCCCCTTTACAACATGTTAACGTAGCTGAAGATACTTTAGGAAACTACAAATTTGATTTTGATCTTGGCGACCAAACGAAAATCGAAGAACGAAACGCTGATGGTTCATTAAAAGGAAGTTTTACCTACGTAGATCTTGATGGTCACGATCATCAAGTTAATTACGAAGCTGGCGAGCAAGGATTTATTGCTCACAGCGCCGATATACCCGTACCAGTTCAAGATCTTCCGGAAAATGTTCAAGCTTTCAACCAACACGCCAAAGTTTTTAATGCGATCCAAGCCGATCCCGCTTTTCAAGAAACCCCCGAAGACGATTTAGAAACTCCCATCAATCCGACCGAGTATCTTAATGCTCTTCGTGCGATTTTATCCGCTGGACATTTAACTTTTGTTGAAGATACACCGGAAAATAATGAAGCTAAAGAGGAATTATTTAGAGCGCATGCCGTCGCTGTAGGATTGTAAAATTATTTTTTTGGGTTAATTTAATTTTTAATAAATACGTGAATATAATAAAGTTGTTTTAATTAATTCATTATAGTGACCTACATACAATATCTGCAGTTGGTTCGTAGAATTACCTCCACCTACCACAATGTTTTGATTTTTTCACAAAATCTTTATTGTATAATCAAATTTTGATTGTGGTCGTAATCTCTTCTATTTAGAAATCTTTTGATCAACCTATATCAGATGACGTAGTCTAAAAGACCTAAACTGGTACTTTTATACTGCTAGTAGAAGACTGGATACTGTGTGCAGATGACATGATAGCGGTGTCAGAAAGATAAATACTGCTCATTTACATAAATACTGCTTAGAGAAGACTGGAAACTGCGTACAGGGGTTCAAATACTGTTGGCATAAAACTTAATACTTACCATATACATAAATTCTGCTTATAGAAGGCTGGATAATAATAATAATAATAATAATATACCTTTATTTACGTTAAGAAAACAAAAATACAGAGACATAATAGAAAAATCAAAGATAGGCGTAAATAAAGTGCGAAAGAAAGAAAAAATTAACCCCGGCAATATGCCATAAAAAAAAAACCGTGTACATGGACAGAGACATAGCAACTGGCGCAAGCCGGAGTAGCCACCAAAACTGCAGAGCCAGTTTGTGTGTGGCGTTCAGTAGTTAATCTTCATCGATCCATTTATAAAACTTACTTAAAAAAAAACNGTTTTACCTACGTAGATCTTGATGGTCACGATCATCAAGTTAATTACGAAGCTGGCGAGCAAGGATTTATTGCTCACAGCGCCGATATACCCGTACCAGTTCAAGATCTTCCGGAGAATGTTCAAGCTTTCAACCAACACGCCAAAGTTTTCAATGCTATCCAAGCCGATCCCGCTTTTCAAGAAACCCCCGAAGACGATTTAGAAACTCCCATCAATCCGACCGAGTATCTTAATGCTCTTCGTGCGATTTTATCCGCTGGACATTTAACTTTTGTTGAAGATACACCGGAAAATAATGAAGCTAAAGAGGAATTATTTAGAGCGCATGCCGTCGCTGTAGGATTGTAAAATTATTTTTTTGGGTTAATTTAATTTTTAATAAATACGTGAATATAATAAAGTTGTTTTAATTAATTCATTATAGTGACCTACATACAATATCTGCAGTTGGTTCGTAGAATTACCTCCACCTACCACAATGTTTTGATTTTTTTCACAAAATCTTTATTGTATAATCAAATTTTGATTGTGGTCGTAATCTCTTCTATTTAGAAATCTTTTTGGCAATACTTTTGATCAACCTATATCAGATGACGTAGTCTAAAAGACCTAAACTGGTACTTTTATACTGCTTGTAGAAGACTGGATACTGAATACAGAGGATTAAAGAAACAGAAGATTGGATACTGTGTGCAGATGATATGATAGCGGTGTCAGAAAGATAAATACTGCTCATTTACATAAATACTGCTTAGAGAAGACTGGATACTGCTTACAGAGGATCAAATACTGTTGGCATAAAACTTAATACTTACCATATANCGGACCCAATACGGTTCCTTGCGGCACACCTACATTCACTGAAACCATTGTACTGTAATCCTGCCCAATCTTAACACATTGCATTCTATCCTGCAAGTAGGATTTCAATAACTTCCAGGGAATACCTCTAATCCCATAGATATCCAGCTTCTGTAACAATAAACAATGGTCGACAGTATCGAAGGCTTTAGCCAGATCCAAAAAAACAGCCAAACAAAGTTTGGACTTATCAAAGCTAGATTTAATTTTTGATGTAAGTTCAGCAATAGCATCATTCGTAGATCTACCTTCAACAAAACCAAACTGATTCTTTGACAGAATATTATTTTCATTAATAAAACAAGTCAGACGCACTTTTAAAAGTTTTTCTAAGATTTTACTAAAATTGTTTACCAAGGAAATAGGTCTGTAGTTTGACGTAGACTGTGAATCCCCACCCTTAAAAACCGGAACAACAACCGCCGTTTTCAATGCTTTAGGAAAATACCCCTGTTCGAAACATCTATTGAATAAAATAGATAAAGCTGGTGCAATTAAGTGAATAATCTTCTTAATTAGTTTTATAGAGATATTGTCACAACCAGTGGAATTTTTATTTTTCATCTTATTTACAATACTTATGATTTCATGTTGATCAGTTGGAGCGAGGAATAATGAGTTGACGTTACTCTTTATGAATGTACACGAATGATTAGACAATTTACCACTTTTC